ATTTCCATTTCTTATCCAAAAAGCTTCTTCAGTTCTAAGAAGCTTCTTGGATAACTCCCGTAAGTAAGTAAGTAAGTAAGTAAGTAAGTAAGTAAGTAAGCTAGGTAAGTAAGTAAGTAAGTAAGTAAGTAAGTAAATAAATAAATGCCTGTAAGTAAGTAAGTAAGGTAGGTAGGTAAGTAAGTAAGTAAAGTAAAGTAATAAATAAATAAATAAATAAATAACTCCCGTAAGTACGTAAGTAAGTAAGTAAGTAAGTAAGTAAGTAAGCTAGGTAAGTAAGTAAGTAAGTAAGTAAGTAAGTAAATAAATAAATGCCTGTAAGTAAGTAAGTAAGTAAGTAAGGTAGGTAGGTAAGTAAAGTAAAGTAAAGTAAAGTAAAGTAAAGTAAAGTAAAGTAAAGTAAAGTAAAGTAAAGTAAAAAATAAATAAATAACAAATAAATAAATAAATAAATAAATAAATAAATAAATAAATAATAAGGAACTGCCCCAAAGTTCAGCTCCTTGCAGATCTGAGGCGGCTCTTTTCAGCATCCAAATCAGAGGGAGTCTGGCTAAAACCGCACGCCAAGCATCTTTTCTCTAGCACAGGGGCGTTAACACTCCGGCGCCCTCCTGTTTCTCGCCCTGCTTGTTCGCCCTCATAGCGACGAAAAGCCGCCACGCCGAGCTGGCTGGCCAGCAACAAGTGCCTCCCGCAGGGTCGACAAGAAGAGCCCCGGAGGGCCTTTGAAGTGCATCTCCGCTTTTCTCTTTGGCGGGCTGCCTGGCTGGGGCTTTCCAGGTTGCCACCGGCTGACGGTAATGGTGCCTGGTGCTGACTTGAGGATGCGGCTCGACAAAAGGCTACTTTAAAAACACACACACCACCCCCGCCCCCTGATAACCTTTGAACGAAACCAGGCGAGTACAAACGTGCTTTCCTGGCATCTAGGCCTGCGAGCTTTCTTTTTTTCCTCCCCTCTCCTCTACCAGCCTGCCCAAGACGGCGCAACGCCGCGAGTGCCGAAAAGTGCCAATTCCCGCCTCGGTCGCCTGAGGCGCTTCTCCAACCTCCATCCATCCATCCCCCGCCGGCGCGCAGAGAGAGAGAGACGCGGCTTTCCCTCACACTTACCCGGGAAATAGTCAGCGGAGTGCTAAAATCTTTCCCTCCGACCAGGCGGAACCCCCATGGCGAAGGACCGTTGAGAGCCACTGTCTGGGGCATGGCGGGGCTCTTCAAGCCAGAAAGGAAAGCCGGACGAGGGAAGCGCGCCTGGGCAGCCGGCTGAAAGCAACTCGCAAAGCGGCGCCTGCTCCGCCAACTTCTCGCCTCTCCTCTCTTCTCTTTGCCTCGGCTGCTTTCTAATCCACTTAAAGCGCCTGCTAATCTCCGGTCCGGCCTGACGTCTCTCGGCTTCCCCGTACAGGGGAGAGGGAGGAGGAGGAGGAGGAACAGAGGGCAGAGAAAGGGAGAGGCGGGGCCCCTTCACGCTTAGGGCGGGCGGGAATCCAACTTTCTCCTTGGCTCTCCTGCACAACGAGCCGTTGGGTAAGGATATATTCCTTGATTAGACTTGGGGAGGGATTTTTAATTTTTTTAGTCACAGAACCAACCTTTTCTTTCGAGGGATCCTGCTGTTCTTTTATACCTGAGTCCATTCCTAACCAATGCTCAGATTATCAGGAGAGAGAGGGGGGAAGAGAGGGGGAGAGGGAGGGAGGAGGGAGAAAGAGAGAGAGAGAGGGTGGAAAGAAGGTGGAAGAGAGAGACAGAAAGAGAAAGAGAAAGAGGAGAAAGAGAGAGGGGGAAGAGGGGGAGAAGGGGAGGGGGAGAGAGAAGGAGGTAGAGGGGAGGGGGGAGAAGAGAGGAAGAGAGAAGGGAGAGGGAGGAAGAGGGAAGGAGGGAGAGAGCGAGAAGGGACAGAAAGCGAGATAGAGGGGGAGGGGAGGGAGGAGAGTGGGAGAGAGGGAGAGAAGAAGAGGGACAGAAAGTGAGAGGGGAGGGAGAGGGGAGAGAGAGAGAACTGTCAAACCTCAGGTTCATATGCTTTTCCTAACTGAAGAGCAACTTTTTAAGGAAAGCATACAAAAACAACAACAAGGAGGAAGAACACAGGTAGCTCCTGCCTTTGTTTCCTCTCCAATTCCAGTAATCTTGGATTACATTTACATTTCTTTTCTCTGTACATGGTTATGCAAACAAGCCTCTGGTAGAGTCCCCTCTCCCAATGTATGGGTTGGTTTTATTTACACAATATTGTACAAATCATTACAAGCAGTTGGAACTCTCAGGGGTTTATGGAAGATTGAAAAATAAAATGCCTTCCCCTTACTTTTTATGCTCTGTCTAATTTTAGGAGACTTTAAAACTGAGCTGAAACTCTGGCCACGCCCACTCCCGGTTTAGCGAAGGGGAAAAAGTCCTGATATGTCACATGACACTGTTGTGACATGAGTTTGACACCCCTGCTCTATAACTATCCAAGAAAACCCAAAACACACACACACACACAAAACCCTCACAGTTTCTCACTTGTTTTCTTGGAGGCAAGTTACATAATTACAATTAACTTACTAAGTTACTTATGAGAAATGGAAGCAAAATATTTGAATAAACTTCTGAAAATAGTTTTGTCCTTTCTACTTGGTCATCTATGCTCATGGATGAGTCTCTGTGTGTATGTGTTTCTGTGCATCACAATTTACAGCTTTTCATCTGTAGCTATACAGCAGTGGTCCAAGTTATTTTGCTGCCCCACGTCACACGGGAAGGTGACCCTCATACTCAGTGCCCTTGAAACCAGGACACTTTCTAAGTAGTTTTGTACTTATTAAACTGCTGCAACATTCTTCTGTCTGAGATAAGACACTTTCTATTTTTGTAATTGATCCTCTTGTAACAATTAACTGTATTAATAAAGTTTACCCTCCAGCGTTTCAAAAATAAAGGGAGAACATGCTTATAACAGTTCAGTTTAAATTCCAAAGGTTATTGTTTGAACTTTTTCCACAACTCCACCTCCTGCATGCACCATTACATAATTCAGTATCTGTGCTCCACCTCCTGCATTGTTTACATTTACCTGCCTTTCTCTGTTTATTCTATTACCAGTTTGGTCAGGCTTGAAAAAGAAGGCAAGCTGAAGTCATGGTTTGCCCAAGAAACTGTGACTTGGAGCCAGTCGCTATTTCTAAATTTAGCCAAATTGTCCTGTGAATAACAATAGGATGAAGGGGGGAGAGAAAGAAGAATCGTATACATGGCTTTTACATTTTATTTTATTTTATTTATCAAATGTAGTATCAAATGTAGCTCTCAGTGTATATAAAGATACAATATGTCAATAAAGATACAGTGCATCAGGAAAAGGATCCAGGTAAAATAAGGATTAAATCAATTACAAGTTAAAAGGCAGAGGGAGCACAAACTACACTCCTCTGTGAGACCCATATGTAAGTTGGCAAAGCCAGGTCTTCAGACTCTTTCGAAAGACCAGAAGAGTAGGGGGGGCTGCCCCACCTTGGGGGAGTGGAGGATATTCCAGAGGATGGGGAAGACAGCACAGAAGGCTCTCTTCCTGGACTTGGATAAAGTCAAAATTCTTTAATTGACAGGGGTCTGTAACATACTGTGCCTTCTCTGTCTGACTGGGTGGGATGGGCTGATATGATGGGGTTAAGGCAGTACCTTGAATAATCTGGTCTCATAGCATAACCAATACCTTGAATTTAACCTGGAAGCAAATTTTCATCCAATGCAACTCAT